TATATATTATTTATATATTATTTATATATATACGCACATATATACACACATAATATATATACACGTATATATATACATATATATATGTATATATACGTATATATAATTTATATATATATACGTATATATATATATATACACACATAATATATATACATATATATATGTATATACACTTATATATACGTATATATACGTATGTATAGGCCTACATATATATACATATATATAAATATACATATATATACATATATATATTATTTATATATTATTTATATATATATATACGCACAAATCTCTACCTGCATATCTACCGTCTAAGAGGCCGCTACCGCAAATAGAAGAGTTTGAGGTCTTCAACTGTCTAAAACACATAAATCAAACTAAAGCGTCAGGTCCTGATGGTCTTACCGCTCGCATTATTCGCGAGTTTGCCTGTGAACTTTCTACCCCTCTCACTGAAATTCTTAACTCCTCCTTTAAAGAAGGCAAAGTTCCAAACCAATGGAAAAAAAGCTGTTGTTGTACCAATACCCAAATCTTCACCAGCCACATGGAACCAACTTAGACCAATATCATTAACTAATCATTTTTCCAAAGTAGCTGAACATTTTATTTCGAACTGGCTTCTTAACGACATCAAAGACAAGATCGATGAAAACCAGTTTGGAAATAGAAGTGGCATGTCCACCTGTCATTATCTCATCAAGTTAATTAACAATTTATGCAGTCACTGAGACAATGCTAAAGCTCACAGTTCTGTTGTTATTACAGATTTTTCAAAGGCCTTTGATCTCTTAAACCATAACATATTGATGCGTAAACTCATTGATCTAAATGTTAATGCCTCTCTGCTCCCTTGGATTGGGGATTTCTTAAACAATAGAAGCCAATCAGTGAGATACAAAGGCACCTTATCTGAACCAAAATTGTTAAATGGGGGGTGTCCCACAAGGGACAAAATTAGGCCCATTATGCTTCATGGTCCAGATAAATGATGCCTTAACTAATCTTAACAATCAACAACATTTGGTTCTTAAATATGTTGATGACATGACATTGATAATTAATTCTATTGGTAGGAACCCAACAAACAATGCTCAACAATTGGTTGACGTCCTGGAAAACTGGTCAGCTAACAATGGCTTGTCTCTTAACGTGAATAAGTGTGCCCATATGCAAGTGTGTTTCATGAAAACACCCCCCTTAATACCAAATATTACTATTAACAACGTTTCACTCCAAGAAGTTCAAATAATTAAAGTACTATAGGTATCATTATCTCTAACGATCTTACATGGAATTCACATATATCTGACTTAGTTAAAAGAGCTAATGGGAAGCTTTTCATGTTGAAACTACTAAAAAAATTCCACCTGTCCTGGGAAGAACTGATTATAGTTTATAAAGGATATGTAATATCTCTCTTAGAATATTCTGTCCCTGTGTGGAATGCGGGTCTCACTCTTGAATTGAGCTCCATGCTTGAAAACGTCCAAAAACGAGCCTTCAGGATTGTTTTGAGAAACCAATATGATCATTATGATCAAGCACTTTCACTGTTGAATATAGAAAAATTATGTAAACGCAGAGAAAGCTTATGTCTCAAATTTGCACAGAAGCTTGCTCATCACCCAATATTTCAAACCTGGCTACCCAAACAAAGACACGAGTTAGTTAAATACAATCTTAGAAACTCAAAGGATCACTCCACTTTATGCTCGAAAACAGAACAGTTCCGAAGAAGCCCGATACCTTACTTTGTTAAACTTTTGAACAAGTAACTGCCATTTACATTATTTATACATTTGTAAATTTTGATCAATAATGATCCAATCAATGTTTATGTCCACTCTGTTTGAGGGATATCGGAATAAGACTTGGTGTTGATGTGATCATTTGAGTTTCTGTCCTGTAATTTGATTTAATGTACCGGTACTGTCTAATTTTTTGATATATCCATGTTTAAATTTGATTTAATGTTGATGTGATCAATTTAGTTTACATTTCTTTTTACTCGTTTTTACCTGTAATCGTGTAATTCGCTATTTAATGTACTGTTTATATGACCCCAACCAGGGCAATGTAAATAATGTGCAATTTAGATTCGTCTACAATACATTATACTGCCTTCTGTTCCCCCGTTATTTATTTATTCACTTAATCATTTTTTATGGTAATTTTGTTGTTTTTATGACATAAATGTAATTTTAACTTTTTTTGCCTGAATTTTGTATATTGAATATTGAATAAAAAATCCACGAATGAATGAATGAATGAATATACACACATAATATATACACACGTATATATATGTATATACATGTATATATATATACATATATATGTATATATATACGTATATATATACACATATATATATGTCTATATATATAGGCCTACATATATATATATACATATATATCAATATACATATATATATATACATATATATATGTATGTATATGTATATAAATATGTATATAATGTATGTATATGTGTATATATATATGTATATGTGTATGTATATGTGTATATATATACGTATATATAGTATACTATAGCTGTCTCTTATACACATCTAGATGTGTATAAGAGACAGATATACTTTTTAAGTCATGTATCATGCATAGGAACGTTGACGCCTGCAAGGCTCTGGTTATTGTTACTACGCCATGCAAACTCTTAAACATTAATATCTAATGAATTAATTTCAAGTTTCAAATGTGTAAATGGTAGAGAAGAATATCATGACACAAGTTTTATTGTTCTAACAAGATTGATCTGCTGACTAAGGAACTCTTATGTAATTTCTATATTAATACCGGAGTGGCTGATATTGTAATAACATTTGACATGCATCTGAAAAATGTCATTTTGAGTAAAGACAACTGGCATCCGTTCTTCATGTGAATATCACCATTGGGACTGGTTAATGTGTTATTAAGTTTGCAATAAAATCTTTTTCAATCGTCATATTTACTTCCAAAAAAGAGATAATGCCGTTTTCATACATGCCAACATTTTGATAGTAAAAAACCGGGGTATTTGGTAATGTGGTGGGGAGGGGTGTTCCCATTACAAGTGTAAACCCCTCCCCTTGGAGGTTTCAGCTATTAATGTATTATAAGGGCAAATCTCATGATTCTTATGGTATGTATTGCAATAATAAAGTACGGTATTGATTTTAAATAACTTGTGCGTTTAATTGAATTACATTTTGTCTTGTGTAGGCTATGTTTATATGGATTAATTTCTCATTTTCTAGCCCCTTTTCAGTACAAGATACAAAATCTGGATTCAATACTTGTCATAAAAGTGCGTTTTCAATAATTACTGGGCTGGTATTTTAGTAATTGCAAATGCATGTCCAATTATTCAACATAAGGTCTGGTCCGCTACGTCACTATTCTTGTTTTATACAAGTACTGTACTCTAGTGGTAATTATTATATTATTGACCTCCACTTTAAAACGATTTCAGACAGACCATTGCCTCACTTTAAGGGTTGTAGGTAAATATGGCCCCGGTAAAAATGGCCCAGGAAAAAATGGCTCTGGTAAAAATGGCCCCAATAAAAAAAATCAGTAATAGAAATGATATTTTTTTTTTAATCGTAATATATTTAAATACTGTAATAAGCAAGAATTGAATTAATAAATTTAAAAATGGCCCTCAATTATAAAATTTAAAAAAAAAAAAGGTTAAATGCTGTAAAATACCCTGTATCAAAAATTGAATTAATAAATCAACATAAACCATATGCATATTAAAATTGAGAACTAAAATAACTTAGTTTTTAGCTCCTGGGATATGAGTAGCTCTAGGAGTACCCTGCTGATTGATTAATTGATATTCATAATGGCTGCTGTACGGTTCTTGTGGCTCTGCAAGTTTTTAATCTTTATACTTGGCTTTTGTGGATCTGTGCAATATTATAATTTTAAAAATCATCCTGACGCAATCTTTAACAGATGCAGATACAATATTAACGACGATTTTATTCCGATTTCGAATTTTTATCTGAAAATATGTACAACAAACCTAGGCCAGCTGTGTGAGTCTCTAAGCAGAGAATTAGCATCTTGTACCAGGGACTGCAGCTTGACCAGCTACTCACATATGCAGTCAAATGTGTTTACTTGAAGCCTAGAAAATTTTGAAATTTTTTGCATATATTTTCAAAATTTCAATGGATATAAAATGAATTTGAACTACAAAGTAATTAAATATAGCGGCAGAAGTGTCCCATATTATTCCAACTGCTCGTGTTCGCCAATTTTTCACATAGACTTATCTGATTGTGGTGATATAGAAAAAAACCCTGGTCCAGAAAAGGACGACCAGCGAACTCATCGTAGGTCCACAACAGGTAATAATGAGGCTCCATCCTTTTATTATCAGAATGTCAGAATTATCAAGAATAAGTTTGATACCTACCACTGTGATTTATATGCTCATCCCATTAAACTCAACTATGACTTTGTAGCATTAAGCGAAACATGGCTGAATAGCCATGTGTTGGATAGTGAACTAATCTTCCCATGCTTTACAGTGTATCGTAAAGACCATGGTGGAAACAAACGCGGAGGAGGAGTGTTATTGCTTACGTCAAACTCTTATAAAACCAGAAGACTTGTTCACCTTGAGAAAGATGACATCGAATTGATGTGGGTTAAAGTCAAAATATCTAAAACCAAACTATTATTAATTGGTGTATACTATAGGGCCCCTAATCTTGGAATTGAGTCAGTCAACAACCTTGCCATTGCTGTTGAAGCTTCGCTTGTCAAATGTCCAAACCATGAACTAGAACTCATCATTGGTGATTTTAATTTTTCCAGCATCCAGTGGCATGAAGATAGAAGTTTCTCTCAGCTTGCCAACATCGATGAACGATTTATAGACTCTGTCATCCATGATCCAAATTTATATCAGTGCAATACTCAAGTTACATGTAATGACCATATTTTAGACTTAATCATCTGCAAACGACCTGACTTTGTGTGCAATATAACGACTGGTAACAATATATTTATAATTGACCACGAATCCATTTCCTTTAATCTAAGATTTTCGAAGTGTAATTATTCTAATTTTAATTCACGTAAATTGTATAATTTTAAGTCAATAATGATCTAATTCAACTGTTTAATCACATTCCATGGCATGTTATTGAAACTGATGATTCTTTAGATAGCAATATTTCAGCCTTTAATGATTTAGTTGATGCTGCTATTAATGATGTAGTAATGGTGCTTCCTCGAAGAAAATTACCTCCTTGGCTCGACCATGAACTATACAGAGCTCTTAGAGATAAAGAACGTTACTTTAGACTTAAGAGATCAAATAATTCTGCAACTGCTTATAGTCTATTTTCATCTGCTCACAAACGTTTCAAGAAACTCATGAGAGAAAAATATAAAGCATACATGAACTCCCTTTCAGATAATCTACGGTAAAATCCTAAAAGATTCTGGTCGTGGGTAAAGTTAAAAACTAAGAGCTCTTGGCTTCCGGATAGGTTGGTACTGGATCATAGATCAGTAGAATCTGATATTGATAAATCCAACTTGTTTAATAGTTTCTCTTATTCAATTTTTAGACA